TTCTTCACTGAGCCGCCCCAGAGTTCTATCATGCTTGCTCGCAAGACTGTCCAGTTGCGGGTTTCATATCCATCCATCGATTCCAGTTCCTTCTTCAATTCTTCGCCTCGAACAAATCTACACACCTGGCGTGCTTTATCAAAGCCGCCCGCGCCGTATATCTCTGCTGCCAGCTCGAATCTTTGCAAGAAATCCTCGAAGTGTTCGCCATCGTATTTCAAATTGGGTTCCTTGATGATGACCGCAGGTCGCGGCCTTGGTTCGTCCATTTCTTGAGGTTCGTTAGTTTCCGGTGGTACGCCGTAGGTTCCATTTGCGATGTTTCCTCCTTGGGTGTTTCCGGTTCCATTCGGGTTGTCTGATGATTGAGTATTTCCGTTGTTCCCATAAGTCCTATAATGGCGTAAGCGATTATGTCTCATAGGTGGTGGTGGTGGCGGATCAATATTCATGTGTTGACTGTGTTGATTGCCCGAGAATATTCCTGTTGAAGGTGTGTTTGTTGTTGGTAGAGCTCCTTCCAAATCTTGATTTTGTGAAAAAGCCATGTCCAATTTTTACTAATTTCAAGTGTTTTTATATCAAATGAGTTTTAATATTTTCCTAGTAGTAATCCTAACTTCACTAAAAACTAAGGTCTCTGGCTTCTTTGCCAGGGCAAGGTAGAGGGTATTGTTTACTAAACTAATAATCAAAAACTAAATAATATGCTACTTTTTATTCTTCAATTATCCCGATGCGTAGAGGTTGTCATAGACTACAGTCTGTTCTGTACTAAGCTTATCGGCTACCACCTTGGTAGTTAAAATCTATATCCTACTGCTTGTACGTCAGCTTAGCCGGTCCCCTCGTCTTCTTAACTTTTATAATTGATTTTTTGAGTAGTTAATTATTTAGTCCGGCCCTACTAGGTCTATATATGAACTTTATTGTATAAACTGACTGAAATTGCTTATTCAGAGATATGCTTTTTCAGGTTGTCAAAGACAGGTATGATTTCCCGCCTAAACTAACACAAACTAACAAAAATACCCTCTAGTTTTCACTACAGTGGTTCACTGATTTTTCAATCCACGTGCCAAACGACAGGATCCTCTATCACGTTGGGGACTCCCTTGTTAAGCTCAAAAGTGTTCGTGAGAACCTTTTGCTGAGTTCGGAAAGGGATGTGTGAGGTAACCTCTGCCTTTCCTGTGTACTACACTAAACAAGACCACCAATCTTAGATTGGCAGCTTTTAATTAGTGATAGTGGAGTGTATCAAAAGATACTCTGTTGTTTAACAGGTGGACAGGTGCAAAAAATGGGTTGTTGTTATGTGTAAAGATGTTGTAATATTTGTATGTAAGGGTTGTTATAATTGTAAAACCAAAATATTGGGGAACAAATAATATTATGGATTGAGCAGTGATTTTCCTGTTATGTGGGGAAATGTCTGCAGGAAGTCTGCTGGGGAAAATTACAACTGGGAGGAAGGGCCTCCTTATATAGACAACAATGAGGTATTTTGGCTCCAGGGGAGCCAGGAATGAGAGATTTTGGCTGGTTGTACAGCCTTACATGAGGGAATTTGGCCAAGATGGAAGAATACATGAGGCGTTTTGGCTGGTGGTACAGCCTACATGATGTGATTTGAGAAGTTGAGTGGTTTCCATCGGATTGACAAGCTGTGCAACAGTTGCTATGCAACCTAGCAACCTGCAGGCTGTGTTCTGTAAGCCAAATGATGTCATCCTGTATTTGAGTCTGTACGCATCACATGTCAGGCTGCCAAGGTAACCTGCATGCTGTGCCTGCATACTTCCATTGTACTTGATTGAGACGTACAAATGCCAGATCACATGGCCCAGAGGGGTGACATGTGTGCCTGATATCCTTGTAACATGTAAGGGTGCTTGACCCCCCTACCTGTGAGTGAAAGAGGGGTGTACATGTAACACAGAGGGGTTACATGTATCCAAGCCTGCTCCTCTAGGGGTAATTTTGGCCCTGGAATCCCTTCCTGGAGCCATATTCAGTGTAATATCATTGTATGTACAAGAAAATATAAAATTTTTAAAGTTGTTGGATGGGAACCCATAAAGTATCCCACACCGGAAGGGGAGATGGCCGGCTGGAAGGAAGCCCTTCCAGTCGACAAGGTACTTGCACCCTCCTTGCACCTCGTCGACCGGAAGGGCTTCCTT